GGAAGGAAGGAAGGAAGGAAGGAAGGAAGGAAGGAAGGAAGGAAGGAAGGAAGGAAGGAAGGGAGGGAGGGAGGGAGGGAGGGAGGGAGGTTGGTTCGTTGGTTCCCGCCTCCCCCCATCCCCCCCAATGCCTCTTTCCTTGTTTTTTACCAATTCTCGCCTTTATTAATTCCAGAATTACACAGAAAACCCTCCACGAACCCTCCCCCCACCCTTCCCTAAGGGGAAACTGAGGCAGGGCTCATCCCCCGCCCCCTACGGGAGCCCTAAACCCCCTCCCGAGTGGGGAAACTGAGGCAGGGCTCATCCCCCGCCCCCTACGGGAGCCCTAAACCCCCTCCCGAGTGGGGAAACTGAGGCAGGGATTCACCCTCTGCCCTGTAGTGTTGCCCTAAATCCTGTTCTGAGCGGGGAAACTGAGGCAGGGACCCATCAACCCCCTCTCCCCAGTCGCAAACTGGTCAAACTGGGACAGGGACCCCCCAGCTCCCTCATCCCCAGTCCCAAACTGGGGCAGGGACCCACCGACCCCCTTTTCCCCAGTCCCAAACTGGTCCAGCCCCCCTCCATCCCCCTTCCCCCCAGTCCCCAGCTGGTCAAACTGGGGCTGGGACCCCCGAACCCTCTTTTTCCCAGTCCCAAACTGGATGGGATAGACTGGGACCCTCTGGGAACCCCCCGTGCCTCAGTTTCCCTCCTATGGGAGGGACTGGGACCGCCCGTGCCTCAGTTTCCCTCCCATGGGATGGACTCGGACCCCCCAGGCCTCAGTTTCCCCTCCATAGGATGGACTGGGAACTCCCCGTGCCTCAGTTTCCCTTCCATGGGATGGACTGGGACCCACCCGTGCCTCAGTTCCTCCTATGGGATGGACTGGGACCCACCCGTGCCTCAGTTTCCCTCCTCTGCTGCCCTCTGGACCCCCTTGGGGACCCCCTGATCCCCCCCAGCCTCATATCCTCCCCTTTGGGACCTCTCGGGATGCACCGAGCCGCCCCCAGCCCCTGTCCCGGTGCCCCCCGAGCCCCCCAGCCCCTGTCCCGGTGCCCCCGGTGCTGACCCCGGTCTGGGCCATGCCGAACGGCCCGGGGTTCATTCCCCGCGGGTTTTGGGGTCCCCCCGGTGCCCCCAGCCCCAGTCCCGGGGTTCATTCCCAGCGGGTTTTGGGGTCCCCCCGGTCCCCCCGGTGCCCACCCCGGTCTGGGCCATGCCGAACGGCCCGGGGTTCATGCCCAGCCCCGGTTTTGGGGTCCCCCTGGTGCCCCCGGTGCTGACCCCGGTATGGCCATGCCGAGCGGCCCGGTGTTCATGCCCAGGAACAGCACGGGTTTTGGGGTCCCCCCGGTGCCCCCAGCCCCAGTCCCGGGGTTCATTCCCAGCCCCGGTTTTGGGGTCCCCCCGGTGCCCCCCCCGGTGCCCACCCCGGTCTGGGCCATGCCGAGCGGCCCGGGGTTCATGCCCAGCGGGTTTTGGGGTCCCCCCGGTGTCCCCAGCCCCAGTCCCGGGGTTCATGCCCAGCCCCGGTTTTGGGGTCCCCCCGGCCCCTGTCCCGGTGCTGACCCCGGTCTGGGCCATGCCGAGCGGCCCGGGGTTCATGCCCAGCGTTTCCCTCCCATGGGATGGACTGGGACCGCCCCGTGCCTCAGTTTCCCTCCCATGGGATGGACTGGGACCGCCCCGTGCCTCAGTTTCCCTCCCATGGGATGGACTGGGACCGCCCCGTGCCTCAGTTTCCCTCCCATGGGATGGACTGGGACCGCCCCGTGCCTCAGTTTCCCTCCCATGGGATGGACTGGGACCCCCCCGTGCCTCAGTTTCCCTCCCATGGCATGGACTGGGACCCACTCGTGCCTCAGTTTCCCTCCCATGGGATGGACTGGGACCGCCCCGTGCCTCAGTTTCCCTCCCATGGGATAGACTGGGACCCTCTGGGAACCCCCCGTGCCTCAGTTTCCCTCCTATGGGAGGGACTGGGACCGCCCGTGCCTCAGTTTCCCTCCCATGGGATGGACTCGGACCCCCCAGGCCTCAGTTTCCCCTCCATAGGATGGACTGGGAACTCCCCGTGCCTCAGTTTCCCTTCCATGGGATGGACTGGGACCCACCCGTGCCTCAGTTCCTCCTATGGGATGGACTGGGACCCACCCGTGCCTCAGTTCCTCCTATGGGATGGACTGGGACCCACCCGTGCCTCAGTTTCCCTCCTCTGCTGCCCTCTGGACCCCCTTGGGGACCCCCTGATCCCCCCCAGCCTCATATCCTCCCCTTTGGGACCTCTCGGGATGCACCGAGCCGCCCCCAGCCCCTGTCCCGGTGCCCCCCGAGCCCCCCAGCCCCTGTCCCGGTGCCCCCGGTGCTGACCCCGGTCTGGGCCATGCCGAGCGGCCCGGGGTTCATGCCCAGCGGGTTTTGGGGTCCCCCCGGTGTCCCCAGCCCCAGTCCCGGGGTTCATGCCCAGCCCCGGTTTTGGGGTCCCCCCGGCCCCTGTCCCGGTGCTGACCCCGGTCTGGGCCATGCCGAGCGGCCCGGGGTTCATGCCCAGCCCCGGTTTTGGGGTCCCCCCGGCCCCTGTCCCGGTGCTGACCCCGGTCTGGGCCATGCCGAGCGGCCCGGGGTTCATGCCCAGCCCCGGTTTTGGGGTCCCCCCGGCCCCTGTCCCGGTGCTGACCCCGGTCTGGGCCATGCCGAGCGGCCCGGGGTTCATGCCCAGCCCCGGTTTTGGGGTCCCCCCGGCCCCTGTCCCGGTGCTGACCCCGGTCTGGGCCATGCCGAGCGGCCCGGGGTTCATGCCCAGCCCCGGTTTTGGGGTCCCCCCGGCCCCTGTCCCGGTGCTGACCCCGGTCTGGGCCATGCCGAGCGGCCCGGGGTTCATGCCCAGCCCCGGTTTTGGGGTCCAGGCCCAGGGCCACCACCAGGCGCACGCCCAGCGCCGCCACCACGGCGGCCAGCGCGGCCCCGCACGGCGCCAGCAGCCGCTCCCGCTCGGCCGCCCGCAGCTCCGGCGGCGGCACGTTGCGGCCCGAGGCGGCGAGGAAGAGCAGCGGGCACAGGTTGTGCACGAAGCAGTGGCGGAAGAAGGCGCGGGGCTCCGGGCACAGGCTGCGGATCAGCCCCCAGAAGCGGGCGCCGCTGACCTCGCTCCGCGGGCAGCGCAGCCCCAGCACCGGGCGCTTGGGGTGCTCCCGGGGCGGCCGCCGCACCGCGCCCGACACCCGCAGCCACTCCCGCACGTGCCACGCCTCGCCGAACGGCACCTGCGGGGGTGGGGAGGGGGCGTCAGCGGGGGAGGGGGGGCACACCGGGGTCGCGATGGGTCAGCCCCGGTTTTGGGGTCCCCCCGGTGCCCCCGGCCCCTGTCCCGGTGCTGACCCCGGTCTGGGCCATGCCGAACGGCCCGGGGTTCATGCCCAGCCCCGGTTTTGGGGTCCCCCCGGTCCCCCCGGTGCCCCCCATTCCCTGTCCCGGGGTTCATGCCCAGCCCCGGTGTTGGGGTCCCTGTCCCGGTGCTGACCCCGGTCTGGGCCATGCCGAACGGCCCGGGGTTCATGCCCAGCCCCGGTTTTGGGGTCCCCCTGGTGCCCCCGGTGCTGACCCCGGTATGGCCATGCCGAGCGGCCCGGTGTTCATGCCCAGGAACAGCACGGGTTTTGGGGTCCCCCCGGTGCCCCCAGCCCCAGTCCCGGGGTTCATTCCCAGCCCCGGTTTTGGGGTCCCCCCGGTGCCCCCCCCGGTGCCCACCCCGGTCTGGGCCATGCCGAGCGGCCCGGGGTTCATGCCCAGCCCCGGTTTTGGGGTCCCCCCGGTGCTGACCCCGGTCTGGGCCATGCCGAACGGGACGGGGTTCATTCCCAGCCCCGGTTTTGGGGCCCCTGTCCCGGTGCCCACCCCGGTCTGGGCCATGCCGAACGGCCCGGGGTTCATGCCCAGGAACAGCACGGGTGTCGGGGCGCGCAGGAAGCGGCGCACGAAGCGCCGGTGCGGCTCCCACGCGTACTCGAGCGGCGCGTACACCGCGGCCACCGGCGGCCCCGGCGGCGGCAGCGCCCGCAGCGCCCCGGACAGAGCGAGCTGCAGCGCCAGGAACCGCGCGGCCAGCGCCGCGCCTTCGGCCTCGGCTGCATCCTCATCCTCGGCATCCTCAGCATCCTCAGCATCAGCATCCTCGGCTTCGGCCCCGGCAGCCCCGGCTCCTCCATCATCATCATCATCATCAGCCTCAGCCCCGGCTCCATCATCAGCCTCAGCCTTGGTTCCATCATCATCATCATCATCAGCCTCAGCCCCGGCTCCATCATCAGCCTCAGGCTCAGCCCTCGCTCCTTCCTCCTCCTCCTCCTCCTCCTCCTCCCGCTCCATCCCACATCGCCTGCGGGGACACACGCGGTGGCCGCGGGGACACGGGGGACAGAGGGGACAGGGGAGACCCGGGGGGGGACAGCAGAGTTCCGGGGGGGGACAGAGAGCCCTGCGGGGGTACAGGGGAGCC